TTGGGGAGTTCTGAGAATGGGGAAGGACCTGGGAGTGCTCTGAGGATGGGGATTGTCCTGGCTGTGCATTGGGGACTTCTGAGGATGGAGGAGTTCTGAGGATGCTCTGAGGATGAGGAAGGACCTGGGGGTGGTCTCAGAATGGGGATTGTCCTGTCTGTGCATCGGGGAGTTCTGAGGATGGGGTGCTCTGAGGATGGAGAAGTTGTGGCGATGCCCTGAGGATGGGGAAGGTGCTGGGCCTGCACTGGGGTGCCCTGAGGATGGAGAAGTTTTGGAGGTGCACTGAAGGACTCTGCAGATGGAGAAGGTCCTGGCTGTGCACCGAGGAGCTCTGAGAACAGGAGAGTCCTGGGGGCGCACTGAGGTGTCCTGAGGATGAGGAAAGTTCTGGAAGGTGCCAGGTTAGCCAGGGCTCGAATCAACCTGGCCTGGTGGAAGGTGTCCGTGCCCACGACAGGGGATTGAACGTGTGCCATCCCACCCGAGCCTTTCGGCGCCATGAGAGGGGTGTCCCTCACCAGCGGGGTGTCCCCCATGAGCAGGGTGTCCCACACGAGTGGGGTGTCCCTGCCACACTAGTGGGGTGTCTGTCCATCACCAGTGGGGTGTCCCTCACGAGCGGGGTGTCCCATACGAGCGGGGTGTCCCTGACACTCGGGGTGTCCCACACGAGCAAGGTGTCCCTCACGCCCCGGCTGTCCCCGCCACACGCCCGGCGCGGCCTCAGCCGCCCCCGCCACGCGCGGGCCACACGCGGCGGCGCGGCCGCGAGCTCCCCCCCGGCGCTCCGTGCGCGGCCCCGGCCGGGTGTGAGCGCGGCCCGGCGGGGGGAGCGAGGGGGCGGCGCAGTGGAAATTTCCACTCCCTGCAGCAGCCGGCAGCGGCGGCGGCTGGGGCGGCTCGGCGGGGCCGGGGGCGGCGCCGGCCGCGGGGGCAGCGCGGGGAGGGCCCGGCCGTGCCCGTGCGGGGGTCCCGGCCCTCAGGCCGCGGTGCGGGGCAGCCCCGGCCCGGCGGGGGCGGCGCTTGGCGCGGGCAGGGCCGGCCCGGTCGAGCGTGCGCAGCTCCTGCGCCCTTTAAGCCGCGCCGCCCCTGCCCGTACGGGCGTCTGAGCCGCGGGAGCCGCGCGGGAAGGAGCCGTCACAGCGCCGGGACTGCGCCTTCCTCATCTTCCTCCTCCTGTCCTCCCCCTGCTCCTCCTCTCCGGCCTCGCCGCAGCCCCCTCCTCCCCACCCCGTGCCCCGCTCCTCCCGCCACTGGCAGCTCTAAGATGCCCCGCTATGAACTGGCTTTGATCGTGAAAGCCATGCAGAGGGTGAGTGAGGGAGAGGAGACGCGGGAGGAAGGGAGGGAAGCAGGTGGGACTGGCAGATTCCTCCCCGCCCTGTTGGCCCGCGGTGTCCCCTCGGTGTCCCCTCGGTGCCCGCTGTCCCCGCCGCACCGCGTGGCCCGGCCGGCCCTGTCCGCCCGCAGTGTCGCAGCGTGTCCCGGGCTCCGCGGGGCTTCCTCCGCTCCTCGGCCCCTCGCCCATCGCCCCCTTCCCTGCCCGCGCCCTCGGACACTTGGCTGAGTCGCTGCCCCCGAGCCGCAGTCCCCTCTCCCCCTCCCCTCCGCTCCGCAGGTAAGCAGATCCCACGCTTTCCGAGATGCGGTTTTTTTCCTTGCCCATCCCCTCCCTCCGTGCCTGGAGCAGGTGAAGCCGGCCCTTCCCATGCCCGTGCCAGCGCATCCATCCCCCTGTCGCTCTGCAGCACCAGCGCTTTCCATCCCCCCCTCCCCGCACCTGCGCTGCCATCACCGGGCACCTCCTCGGCTCCGCCAAGCCTCGGGCCGAGGGGAAAAAGGGGGGGAAAAGCAAGGATTCGCTCCATCCAGCTCCCGACCGCGGGGTGCCACCTTCCCCCCCGTGTGCCAGGGAAGTGCCAAGGACGGGGTTTTGCCCGCAGCGGTTGAGCGGGGCCGATAGGCTGGGCCCTATCGCCCCCGGGAAGGGGCGCTGGGGGTGGCAGCAGCCGTTGCCGCTGTTTTTTGGCAGCGCGGTGATAACAGAGCTCGGTTAAATGATGCTCTTCCCATTCGGCAGGAGCTGAGTCAATACGTGGGGGAAGCGGCGGGGAGGGGGGGTGGAATGGGGATGTGTGTGCGTAAAAATAATAATAATAAAATAGGGTTATCTCCGTGTGGATGGGAGGTTTATTTGGGAAATAACAGCTGATACTGGCCCTTCTCTAGTACCTTCTATAGCCATTGTTTATCTGCTACTTTCCAGCTTCATATGCGGTGCTGGTGTTGGAATGTAGCAGCACTTGCGCTGGGCTGGAGCCCTCTGATCCAGCCCGGTGTGGATAGTCCGGGATTTATCCTTCATTCCCACCAGCACCGTTTCCCACCGAGCAGCAGCAGCTCAGCAGCGTGGCCGTGGTTTTTTGGGAATTACGGGAGCACGTCTGGTGTGCCGCATGCACTAGTACATTTCCATTCATTTTACATGGACCATCCACATGTCGGGGCTGGCTTTTTTCTTTTTTTTATAATATATTTTTCCCCGTGGTTTAGCTGCAGAAGCTGTAGTAGAGACATCTCACCTGGGTCCTCTAGTGGAGAAACACAGCAGCGGGGAAAAAGCCGAGTGACATTGCTGCACTGGCTCAGCCAGGCAAAAATACACCGCTTTTCCACTTGCTTGTCGATATATAATCTCTGTCCGATTTTTTTTTGTTTTGTTTTGTTTCTTTCCACACCTCTCCCCATGGGAGGATGAGGCAGAGGTGCTTTTTGTAGCCGTGCCGTTGATGTGGGAGATGCATTAAGCTGGGCAGGCACTCGGAGTGCAGGGCAGGACAGCAAGGATAACAAACCTGCCATAATACTGAGGCAGGAATAAACTGACTTCTCTGAAAGGATGCCATGGAGTGCTCTCTGCTGGAAAGGCTCTCTGGTTTCTAGGATCTGAGCACGGAGATGCAGGGATAAGCTTTTAGCTGTAAGATGCTTCTAATGAGCGTCAGTGCACTCGGGATTTAACATCTGCAACCTTTGCCTCTTTGAAGTTGGGCTCTCCAGCATGTTCTTTCCACATGGATGTATCTTTAAGGGTTTTTGTTTTTTTTTTTTTTTAGCTCTGTGATTATGTCCAAACATTTCAGTTTGTGCTGGTGTTTTTAACCCACCCTTGTTGTAAGTCTAAAATTTGGAGTCTGTTCTGTAGGTGCTGCTATTTTCGTGCTGTTTTCAGCACACCAGATCTGGGTGCTTTTTTGTTTTCCCTATATTTTGCTGCTGCTGCCTTTCTTGTGCCATGAGAACACTTGGAAATATTTCCTCGGGTGGTTTTATGCTCTGTGGTGCTGCTGAGGGGTTGCTCTAATGACCCCTGTAAGATGTGCATAATCCTGGCTGTAATACTGAATTAAATGAGGCAAGCTATGGGGATAATAAGCCAGTCTGAAATAATGGAATTGATTCCATGACTCCCTCCTGTAGAAGAAGAAATGACATTGCTTCTCCACGCCGGTGACAGCACCTGGGAAGGTGTTCCCTGTCCTGTCCTGTCAGTCCCTCTGTGGTGGCTGCGTGTCCTGGTGCTGTCTGAGCAAGTGCTGGCTCTTCTTTTGGTGTCTGTGATGTCCTTCCTCACCTGTGGCAGCTCCCCTGTCCTCCAGAAAAAAACAAACCACCAAACCTTTGTCACTTGGCTTTGCTGAATTTCTCAGAGCTCTCTGGCAGCTTGGTGCAAACCTCAGCCTGGAGACTTTGCTGCCTCTCCACAGAGGCAAACTTGGTGCTTCTGTGGGGTCTTCCCCACCCACAACTTTCTTTTAATAATTCCCTTGGCATTTTCAGGGATCCAGGCAGAATAAGTCTTTCCAGCTCGTTTTTGTTACTTTAAACCCTGCTGGTGTCCAAGTCAGGGATCCTTTCCCTTTCTTTTCCTTCATGTGGCTCCTGTTTGGAGTCTGTTGGGAGGGTCCCAGGGCAGCACATCCCATCCATCCTCAGGCTTGGCAGGCTCCAGAGCCTCTTCAGCTCTCCTTTTGTGCCTTAAAAACACAACACCCAAGAGCTTTGGGAATGGTGGGGGTATGAGAGAAAACTTTCACTTTGCACTGGTTTCAATTTCCAGCCTTTGTCACACTGGTTGTCTGCGTGTACTTTGCACAAAAAGTCAGGATTTCATTCTGAAGTCAGAGCTGAGCAGCTCTTCTCTGTCCTGATTTGTGAGAGGTAATGGACCTGGACTAAAAACCACTGTGTTTTTATATACTAAAACACAGGATATTTTATGTACTCTGCATATACAGAGAGTTTTTCATCAGCAGAGCCCCCAGTTGGTGACTCTTAGGAAAACAACAATAATAAAAGCCACCCCGAAATAAATAAATCTCCCTACTCTGTGGTGTATTTGGAGGGTGAGGGGTTTGTGTTGCTGCATATGAGTTTATGGATTTGGGCAGAGAAAGGTGTGAGCACATTGAGGTGAAATGATTCATTTTGCCCATTTTGCTGCATGGAAAGAACAAATGCTGGGGGGAGCTTGGTGGCAGATTTGTTCTCAGCAGTGTCCAGGTGTTTGCAAACCAAATTTTACCTGCCCCAGCCAAACCCTGCAGTTGGGCTGGAGGGAAAAGTGCAAAATGAAGATACAGGCTGTCCGTGGCCTGAATTCCTTGCTCATAACAAAAGCTGAGGATTCCTGATTTTTCTCCCAGTGGGGGGATTGTGGTAGAGCAGCACCTTCAGCAGGGAAGGGCAGTGAATTCCCAGGAGGGAATGTGCAGGAATTCTCACCGGGTAGGAGAGCAGGGCTCTGCAGGCAGCTCTGAAACTCCCTCGAAGGAAGTGAGGGGAAAAGGGAAGGAAGGAAGAGCTGGAAATGGTTTCCTGCTGCTCTGAGGCCGTTTGTGCAGTGACTGTGGGGTGGCAGTGCCACACCTCCAGGGGGACTGGGACACAGAGTGGGAATCCCACAATCGTTGAGCTTGGAAAAGACCTCCAGGGTGGAGTCCAACCTTGGACTTGGCACCCAGAGCAGAGCACAGGGACAGCCATCCTCAACAGCACCACTTTGTAACTGGAACTGAACAGGCACTTGTGAATAACTCCGAGTATTTCACTAAAAATGAGGAAATTTATCAATATTTTATTAGCACTGTGCTCATTTCACCTGTGACAAAGTTCAAACACACAGTGTCACAATCTAAAACCTAACTTTTTTTTTTTTTTGCAGCAATTACCTGAACTAGGAGACCCATCCACCCATTTCTGGAATCTCAGAGTGGTTTGGGTTGGAAGGGGTCTTAAAAATCACCTTATTCCACATAACAGGGACACCTTCCGCTATTCCAGGTTGCTCCAAGCCCTGTCCAGCCTGGCCTTGGACACCTCCTAATAATAATAATAATAATAATAATTCTGCAGTGAATGTGGGCTCTCATTTCTCCAGCCATGTTCTCACAACACAACTTGTCTTCAGCAGCTGTTTGTTGCTTTTGGAGTGGGTTGCTGTGTTTCCAAAATTCCCTACCTGCCCTGTGGAGATTGTTGGCTATTTTGGGAAAGCCAAAGTAAATGGGCAGTAGTGTTGCTTGACATCTTGACTATTCCATTTAATTGCTGTGTAGGCAGCTGCAGCAATTGGGCTTTTGATGTCTCAGTTGCCAGGAAGGAGGGGGAAGAAAACGAAGCAGGAAGATACAGGGTTTATTTTATTTTATTTTATTTTATTTCCTTTCCCGTGAACCACCTGCTCTTCCACTGGAATTGTGCATCTTCCCCGCCCCTCCTCTCAGCTGAGCAGGTTAAAATTTCACAAAAGTTTTTTTTTTTTTTTTTCCTCTGTTCCCACTGGCATTTTTAGTAGGCTGGAGCAGGCTCTTCAGCCTGGCAGGGAGGGATCCTGGAGTCGGGGGTGGTGCTGGAAAGGAGACCAAAGCCTTGGAACTAAAAGACAGGATCAGAAAACAGCAAGATCCAGCACTGACTCTGCTGGAGGAGTCACCTGTTTGTTTTCTTCCTTGAGCATTCCATAAAAAGAAGTGGATTTTGGAGAGAGTGGTGCAGACAGCATTTGGGAACGATACCCTCTTGCCTGATATTTGACATTTTCAGTCTTGGAAAAGCTGGAATTGTTGCCAAGTGTGGGATACGTGCCTGGGTCTGAGGGGACATAGAGGATTATTCTCTCCTGCAGAATAGTTGAAGCCTAATTGCAGTTTTTTGCAGGCCCCTGGTGGGATTTCAGTGGGATTTGGCCAGTCCCTCTTCAGGGGACAGCAGTGGGGTTAACCTTTGAGTTCAAACTTCTTTAGGCTGCCC